TAGTTTATCAATTTTTGCATAAACCTTTTTTTAAACAGTGGCTACAACTATTATATACCAAGTATTTTTGTTGTCAATGTTGATGCTGATTTTGCTTGTAATCCAATTATATTGAGTCTAGAAAAATAAAATGAATTGTAAATTTATATTAATTTTAATATATTTAAATGTTGCACAATAAGTATTTTACATACATGGTCAATGAATGTTGCAATAGTGACTATTTTTGAAATTTATTCATTTTCTGAATTTGCAAGATTAATTGCAACATTGTTGTAGTCTCGACATCTTTTTCAATGCGTCAAGTGTGTCACGATATTCTATTGCTCTACATTGACATTTATATAATGAGTTTAATTTACATGTAACTACGTAAGATAATGATCTAATTACTATTTACATATTATTATCATCATAAAACCATATTAGTCATTTATGTGTTCTGCTCGATGTACTTTTGGTTCAACCATAAAGATGTAGGGTAAAATTGAAAATGATGTGTATAACTGTATAAGTTTTTGATACAATCTAATGATCTATTACACAAACACAATTCTTATTCATACTATAACCCAAACATTATTGGTTCTTATTTAATTTAGTGTGTTTATTTCTCTTACCAAAAATAAAAAATATTAAAAAGCATCTTGATCATTTTGAGGGAAAGTGATTTCTTTGCTCAATTATTTCTTTTTTTTAGCATAGGGCTATATAGTAGCACCGGAATAAATTGTCATTGGCAATATGGAATCTATATAGATGGAGTTTGTAGTTCAAAATGTAAAATGGTGAAAAATAACGCTAGAAGGAGGGCTTGAACCTCCGACCTTGTGGTTAACAGCCACACGCTCTAACCAACTGAGCTATTCCAGCCAATGTGTAAAGTTTGCAGTCTTTTAAATTATATTAGATCTATTCTTATAGTTAGCAGTCACCACCACCTATCTGGCCCGTAAAACAAGCTAATCTTATTGTCCCCACCATTTTGAAAGCTCATTGGCAGGGATTTATGTTATAGGATTAGTCATCTATCAAGAGATCAATTTATTTGTTGATTGGCTAGCGGCACACATCAATTACGGACAAACGGACATTAGAGTATCAATGCTAAGACTTTGGTATCCCCTTAGTTCTTTTTTTTTTTTTTTTTTTTGAAAGCAACAACTTAATTCATTATATTATCAACAAGACAGTTTACAAGAAAATCAAGGACAGTATCAAACCACTCTCCGCAACCTGACATATAAATATGCATAATATAAAATGTGTACGAGACAAGATATTTTACGTGGAAACTTGAAAAGAAAAAATCGCAAACCTTTTTTAGGCTCGGTTAGGTCAAAATCCACTATTAATGTTGAATAATACATGTTCCGGCCTACTCTAATTAGTACTAGTGAAATACAAATTAAATACAATGGAGAGTAATGAGGTTGGGAAGCTAATTGAGGGGTGAGTATAAAGTTGAGAAGCTAACTAATTAAGGGGTGAGTGATGAGGTTAAGATGTCCACTAGGGTCTAACCACACAAGGTCAAGTCGGTTGGCGTGGTACGAGTTTGATCCCATCCTCACCCTCCTCACATTAGGTAGAGTGCTCTATTTATACTTAGTGGGAAGTGGACATAATGATAGTTAATACTGACATAGCTGACGTGACATCTATTGATTGAACACTTAAGTCGTTGTAGTGACACGTGTAAGCTGTTGGAGGTGACGATTGGCGAGGTTTACACAGGAACGATGTTTACTTAGTGATAGTGGTTGCGGGTTTTCCTCGTCATCCCAAAAGAGAGAGAACCTAACCAGAATAATAATACAAGTCTTTTATATATATATATATATATATATATATATATATATATATATATATATATATATATATATATATATATATATATATTCCCCTACTTTTTATCTCTATATTCTCTTAATTTGATATGAGATTGTATCATCAATTTCTTACCACTTAAATAAGATCTTGATGTATGTTAATATATTTCATGTGGGTAGGTTAATATATTATTTTTGATCGCAGGAGTAACTCAGTAGGTTATTGGATGGTAGATTGGGAGTAAAGACATAGAATTGATCCCATTGTGGTGAGTTCCTTGTGGACACTAGTCTTCTCACCTAATGGGTCGTTAAGTCACCATGATTTAACCACATTGTCTTTACTCCCAATGGCACACATCAATTACGGACAAACGGACATTAGAGTATCAATGCTAAGACTTTGGTATCCCCTTAGTTCTTTCTTTTTTTTTTTTTTTTTTTTTTTGAAAGCAACAACTTAACTCATTATATTATCAACAAGACAGTTTACAAGAAAATCAAGGACAGTATCAAACCACTCTCCACAACCTGACATATAAATATGCATAATATAAAATGTGTACGAGACAAGATATTTTACGTGGAAACTTGAAAAGAAAAAATCGCAAACCTTTTTTAGGCTCGGTTAGGTCAAAATCCACTATTAATGTTGAATAATACATGTTCCGGCCTACTCTAATTAGTACTAGTGAAATACAAATTAAATACAATGGAGAGTAATGAGGTTGGGAAGCTAATTGAGGGGTGAGTATAAAGTTGAGAAGCTAACTAATTAAGGGGTGAGTGATGAGGTTAAGATGTCCACTAGGGTCTAACCACACAAGGTCAAGTCGGTTGGCGTGGTACGAGTTTGATCCCATCCTCACCCCCCTCACATTAGGTAGAGTGCTCTATTTATACTTAGTGGGAAGTGGACATAATGATAGTTAATACTGACATAGCTGACGTGACATCTATTGATTGAACACTTAAGTCGTTGTAGTGACACGTGTAAGCTGTTGGAGGTGACGATTGGCGAGGTTTACACAGGAACGATGTTTACTTAGTGATAGTGGTTGCGGGTTTTCCTCGTCATCCCAAAAGAGAGAGAGAACCTAACCAGAATAATAATACAAGTCTTATATATATATATATATATATATATATATATATATATATATATATATATATATATATATATATATATATATATATATATATATATATATATATTCCCCTACTTTTTATCTCTATATTCTCTTAATTTGATATGAGATTGTATCATCAATTTCTTACCACTTAAATAAGATCTTGATGTATGTTAATATATTTCATGTGGGTAGGTTAATATATTATTTTTTATCGCAGGAGTAACTCAGTAGGTTATTGGATTGTAGATTGGGAGTAAAGACATAGAATTGATCCCATTGTGGTGAGTTCCTTGTGGACACTAGTCTTCTCACCTAATGGGTCGTTAAGTCACCATGATTTAACCCCATTATCTTGTCAGTTCAAAAGTGCGGCCCCAGAGGCGAGTGAATTTCGCCAAGGTTAATATATTTCATAAAGAGTTAATATTTCATTATTGATACAATCTATTACACAAATACAATTCTTATTCATAGTATAACCAAAACATTATTGGTTCTTATTTAATTTAGTGCATGGGTGTAATAGGCAAAAATAAAAATAGCAAAAAGTATTTTGATGGGAAGTGATTTCTTTGCTCATCTATTTCCTTTTTTAGCATAGGGCTATGGTAGCACCGGAATAAACTGTCATTGGCAATATGGAATCTATATAGAGATGGTGTTCGTAGTTCAAATTGAATGAAAAAGGTGATAGATATCCTAGATATCGCTAGAAGGAGGGCTTGAACCTCCGACCTTGTGGTTAACAGCCACACGCTCTAACCAACTGAGCTATTCCAGCCAATGTGTAAAGCTTGCGGTATTTTAAATTATATTAGATCTATTCTTATAGTTAACAGTCACCACCTCTTATCTGGCCCGTAGAACAAGCTAATCCTATATATTGTCCCCACCATTTTGAAAGCTCATTGGTAGGGATTTAAGTTATAGGATTAGTCATCTATCAAGAGATTAATTTATTTGTTGATTGGCTAGCGGCACACATCAGATTACGGACAAAAGGACATTAGATTATCAATGTTAAGACTTTGGTATCCCACTATCCCCTTAGTTTTTTTTCTATAACGTAAATATGCATAATATAAAATGTGTAGGAGACAAGACATTTTACGTGAAAATTTAAAAGAGAAAAAATGACAAACCTTTTTTAATTTGAGTTGGGCTAAATCAAAATTCACTATTAATATTGAATAATACATGTTCTGGCCTACTCTAATTAGTAATAGTAAAATACAAATTAAATACAATAGGGAGTAATGATGTCGGCCAGGAAGCTAATTGAGGGTGAGTACAGTATAACGTCGAGAAACTAACTAATTAAGGGGTAAGTGATGAGGTCAAGATACCCATTAGGTCGGGGTCTAACCACACAAGGTCAAGAAACTCCGGTTGGCGTGGTATAGGTTAGTAGAAGCCCCAGCACCATCTCCCACCCCCACACACTAGGTAAGTGGGAAGTGGATATAATGATGGTACGTAAATACTGACATAGCTGACGTGACATCTATTGATTAAACACTCAAGTCGTCTTGACACGTATAAGTTGTTGGAGGTGAAGACTGGTGAGGTTTACATAGGAACGGGGTTTACTTAACGATAGTGATTGTGGGTTTCTTTCGTCATCCCAAAAGAGAGAGAGAACATGAATAAAATACAAGTCTTTTTTTTTTAATATACTTTCCCCTACTTTTTATCTCTATCTTTCTTGTGTCAAATTGAATTAATCATCTCCTTCACTTCTTGCCATACTTAAGTGTTTTTTTTTTTTTTTGGTAGTACTGCGACCTCAACTCCCATTTGAGAGAACCATAGTTATACCAATTAACCACGAGATTTTTATTTATATGTGTAATGTACTTTATTTAATTTATAAATATCTTAAACATCAGTAATAGTGTGCTCTCCTTATGTACGTTAAGTGTACTCTAATTCATTTAATATATTAAACTTCATATTCTTCAAATTCCTAATCTTTAAATACACCATCTTCTTAGTACCATTCACATCAAATACTTAAAGCCATTTCTTCCTCGCATGCTTGGTTTATATTGCTTGCTACCAAAACTCACAATTCTTAAATCTTACATTATGTCTCACAAAACTTTCACCTTCTTGCTACTTAATATTATCATAAGCGTAATTGCAACATTACCAATTTCGTTGGGTGCACCATCTCCCGAAGGCTTAGAAGTCTACATAGTTGTTACTGAGAAACCTAATGGAGATCCTACCACAACTTATGTTAGAATGTTAACTTCACTTTTTGACAGGTATATATAATTTTCCATTTGTATTTGTCGGTGCTATTCTATTTATTTATTTTGGTCATATGTTGAAAATTTAACACTAGGGTCGGTTTGTTATGCGAAAAATGATTTATTTATTTATTTATTGTGTTTGGTTGATTGAAAGTTAGAAAGCAATATTTTGTCTGTTTAGTTTAAAGTAAAAAGGTTTTTTTTTTTTTTTTTTGAATTGTCCTGATTGATTCCTTTTTAAATAAAAACATAAATATATTATTAATTTATATCTTATAAAATATTAATTATTTTAATGATGATAATTGTTATTGTTTATCTTTAAATAAAATTATAAGTTGAAATTTATAATACTTACAAAGATTAATAATTATTACAATAAAAAGATGTAAATAAATAATTTTTAATTTGTAACTTATTATAATGAAAATAAATAGATAAATATAATAATTCTAAATTAAATAAAATTGCTTTTTTTTTTAATCTTTTTTTTTGTTGGGGGGCGGGGGGTAAGATTTTTATTGTTTAGCTCGGTTGATCTAGCTCATATTTAATTTAACATTGATAAATACAATAATTCTTAATTAACTAAAAACATATTGAAGAATTTTTTTTAATAATGGTACTGTTACCGATCAACATCAAAATTAATACTATCGAATATAACCAATTATAATGTTGTTGTTATGTGGTTGGTGATGGTGTTGAAGTGAGGAGGCAGCGAAGAAGGCACTGATCTATGTTTATCAATTCTCTGTGCAAGGATTTGCAGCTAAACTCACCCCTCAACAAGCAAAAAGTCTCTCCGGTAAGCATATATACTTATTAATTAATTAATAGAGTGTAAAATTATTCTTTTAATTTTTTGTGAATATAATTTATTTTATATCCCAAATTAAATAAATTTAATTAATATTTTGCAGAATATCCCGGTGTTATATCCGTTGAAAAAGACCAAATGATGTCATTGCCGCCCCTACGAGACGAGGGGAATTTCCACTAATAAGCATTGTTGGGAATGGGGAATTTCCAGAGAGTATAATAGTGATAATATTAAGATTTTAATTATTTACACAATAAAAATGTATAACATATTATCTCTCTATATATATGTGAGTGCATGTGTGTGTAGTTGTGTTCATTTTTAGTTTGTTCAATATAGAGAAAAATAAAAGTTTACTATGAATGAAGGGAATAAGTGGTCGTTTACTAATTTTAAAAAATAGAGGATTTTTCAAAAAAATGGAAAGAATAAAAATTGGAGAAGTTGTTTATTAAATTTCTTATTCCAAATGCTTACTCCTTCTCCATTTCCCAACCTCATGTACAATTTTGGAGAAAGAAGATTTGGACTTCTCCAAATGAAGGAGTGGAAAAAATTTGGGTGAACTCTACATAGTGGTAGAGGTCCATCGTTTGAACCTATTTGTATGCATTTTAGAAGTCTTTTTCCTTTTCTTTGTTATTCTCCTTTAGGCTATTATTATTATTATTATTAGGGAAATGACACTTCTTCCCCCTTAGTTATATACATATAGCACTTTTCCCTCCTGAATTTTTCAAGTGGCTCTTTTCCCCCCTGAAATGTTAGATGGACATATTTACCCTTAAAATAAATATTTCATTTATTTTTCTTCTCCAACAAATTATGATCACGATTCGGTTCAAACTGTACAGACACTATAACAACTAAACTGAAATATTCCAATTACAATTTAGAATCAAAACTTGATATTTAGAGTTTATTAAAATCGCGAACCGGAATGGCCGGTTCATGTTCCGAACTGAAAAAAAATAAATTACATTTATTGTTGAATTTAGAGTATTTTAAAATAAAAATAAAATGTTAAAATAAAGACGATTCAAAATCGCCAACCGGATCCGGAACCGCCGGTTCACGGTTCAGAATCCAATTTTTTTGATTCGTAATTTTAATGAATTGAAATCTAAATATTGGATTCTGGATCTGAATCATAACCGGAAACTTTCAATTCGATTGTTATAGGGTCCGGTTCAGTTCGAATCGAACTGTGGTCATCCCTACGTATAAGCAATAATTTGTTGAAGAATAAAAATAAATAAAATGTTTACTTTAAGGATAGGAATGTCAATTTAATATATTAGGGGGGAAAATTACCACTTTTAGAATAATTGAGGGGGCTAATGTGCTTACATAAACAACTCAGGGGGAAAAAATGCTATAAGTATATAACTCAGGGGGAAAAAGTGTCATTTTCCCTTATTATTATTATTATTATTATTTGTTTTTCTTTTTTTCTTTTTTTCCTCCTCCCTACAGATTTGTTTTATTATTATTATTATTATTACTCCGTATTATTATTATTATTATTATTATTATTATTATTATTATTATTATTATTATTATTTTCTTTTTTTTCCTCCTCTTTATGCACACATATTTATTATTATTATTATTTTAATTATTATTATTATTGTTATTATTATTATTATTATTATTATTATTATTATTATTATTATTATTATTATTGTAGAAATGTACAAATGATATATGGGATGATTGTATTTAATGAAATCATAAAATTAGAGAAATGAAAAACGGGAGGAATATGGAATGAAAATTAAAAAAAAAAAAAAGGATAAATGGAAATTGAAGAAATAGGGATGGAAAACTGGAGAAATGGAGAAATGGAAAACTGGAGATGGAAAAACAGAGAATTGAAGTAAACGACCCCTAAACTTTCCATGAAAATGCATCATATTTGAGGATTTTATTGGTTCTTTTACCCAATTTTTTCTTTTGAAAATAAAGAAGCTCATTCATTTAATTATAAGCTGAAGCGATTACAAATAGGATCGATGGAACGGTGCACCATTCCTTACAGTCAGACATGAAAACAGCTTCCCTAGCAATGCTACAAAGAACTTGAATCGCAGAATGTTTCACAAATTTGAAGATAAGTCGTTAGATGAATTTAACGCTTCTTTAATATCATTGAAGAATTGATCAAACGTAGTCCATACTAACTTTGGTTGAAAAGTCTTGCATACCACCTGAGTATATGTTTTCCATCTGTCGTTCATTGACAATATATCTATCGAGCTGAGATGCAGATGCTCTTTTACATTGTCATCTTTGTCATCCAAGATGAAATTTACATACGCCATGAACAACTTATATGTCTCACACTTATGAAGAAAAGAACTCGCCAAAAGAAACGAGAAGAAAACAAACTCGTCACACAAACGAGAGAAAAACACAACAAAAAAAAAAAAAAAAAAAAAAAAAAAAAAGAACACGAAAGAAAAGAAAAACAGCAGTAGTACGCTTCTTTTACCCACTTTTTATGATTGTGATTTGTAAATACATGAGAGAATTACATTTTTAGTTCTTAAGTTTTACCGAATTAGTTAATTTAGTTCTTCATAATTGGCATTTGCAAAAAGGAATAAAGATATATGGTCAAGAACTTTTAGAAAAATACAATTAAGTCATTGAATTCAACAAATTTTAAAATAATCTATGATCTCGAATTCACAAAATAGAATAATTACCCTTTTTTATTGTATTTATTTATTATCAGAAATCATATATCAAGTAAATGTCATATACTATGGTACTTATCATCTCTATTATACCTATAATATGCTACATTATCATCATCGCTAGCTATTATACATATCAAATGTTGCATTATCATTCATTTGTTTTCCTGTCATGGCAACCTAGCTAGTTTATGTAAACAAAGGGGTCCTGGTGAAGCTCATCCATGTGGAGGAAGACAAAGCTCTTCATCTTCGTTTAGACTCCAAGACAAAGATGAATCATTTACCTTTCATTGAATCTAAACAAATATACTTTTCTAGATTCAACAAATTAAAGATGTAGACGTCTTCATCTTGGATTACTTATATGAATTCATCTTGGATGACCACAAAGGTTTTGGACAATATTGATATATATACAGTGGTGGTATGGTGGTTGTGGTAGTTGTGATGCCGACAAGAGAGTAGTGTTGGGAGCCAATTCAATACAGGGCGAGACAAGTGAGCCCCGAAGACACAGTGGCAATTCTCCGCGAAAGAAACTTATGCTAACTAATATCAGATGAATACTGAAAAACCAAGTAGTTGTATATTCACGACAATAACCATGTATAAGTCTACAGAATACTATACATATATACAATGTGATATATATGGAAAAAGAAATATACATGGACTATAGCTATATAGTACGTCCTAATAGTTGTGGCTAGAGCTGAGTATTATTTTGTTGTTGTTACTGTTGTTATTGTTGTTATACCAAAACCAACAAATTAGACACCACAAGGTTGATGGTGTCAAATTTTCAATACACCTAGATTTTAAAAATAAAAAGAATTATGTGAAAATAGGCATGTCATTTTATGATTCATGCATACTCATCATCACTAGTGTGTGGATAGTCTAACATTTGTTTCCAAAGGTGGCAACATTTTTTTTTTAGTTCATTAGTTACTATAAATTTGGTTGATCCGCCATGCGTTCAAGAATCAAAATTGTAAAACAAAAGGAGATTTTCATGGGAACGTACTTACTTTAGAAGCTCCACAACAAAATTTATATTGAAGAAATATAATATTGACCTCGAGCACAACTTAAAAATTTAATCAACATAAAATTAATTGATAGCTTAGCTTTGTTGACCGTCACAAAGTGTAAGGCTAAATGTGATAAGACATTCAAATCAAGACTCGAACTTCACTACAAAGAACTCCACCAGAAACATCAGTACAAAAATTAGCTAAAGTAAATGGTCTTCCTTTATGGACAACTTCACTTCATTCCTTATCAAGTACTAAGTAGCTCTTTCCTAGACAATTCCCTCTTCTAGGTCAGCCCCAAACACTTCTTAGCTCCCTTTAAACCTTATCAAGTAATGGGTAACCCTTTCTCACCACACACCAACCTTAGCACTCAAGTCAGTTCAAGATGGGATGGATGTTTGATTTGACTTTTTTTTTTGAATACTATTATATTGACTCTATTACAAGGTAGTATTTGTTCTATATTTTCTCTAACTAATGCAGTTCAAAGAGTCAATACGCCACCACCGGAGTTCGATTATGTGACCTTCCCTTAAGGAGAGCCACAGAGTTACAATCTGAGCACAATATACTTGGCGATTTGACTTTAAGTACTATACAATTTCTCGTAGAACTAACGTGAAATCATATTATAAAATTTGATTTATACTGAAAAAGAAACTCTCTTACTAATAAAACAAATCAGATTACCCCTCTTTTACGTATATAAAACACGTTATTTTAGTAGTATATGAATTAAGTATCGACAAAAAAAATGTTCACTTTTTTTTTTTGGTTCATATTTCTGCCAAGTTGGTTTGAGGTTCATTTCTATCGAGCTAATCTTGATCGTCACTCAAGGTCTCAAGCAGTCAAAGTTTACACGGAATATACGATCCGGATTTTACAAAAGAAAAGAAGAAAAGTCGCGGAGCCGGAGAATCTGCCACGTGGACTTCTTTGCCGACGAAATTCTAAACCAAGCTACCATTTCATATTTTCATCAAAACCGCAACCGGCAAATTAAACCCTAAATTATTTAGACGAAACTACCCTTTCTAATTTCTATTCTCCCCTTGCTAATATTCCTACTAGTGATTATCTGTTTTATTTTTACAAATTTTAAATCTTTACATCTTTTTTTTTTTTTTTTTTTTGTGGCCAGTTGATATAGTTACGGACTTACAACTATATTCTGATGAACATTTAATATAAATGTAACGAATATAATTTACGTGTGATGAAAATTTTATAATTTTAATCTGAACTTTGCAATTGTTATAATAGTAACTATTTAATTTAAATTCATTAACATTTCAAGTAAAAATCACTATGATTAAGGGTAAAAAATGGAATAAACTCTATATGTACTAATCTCATAATATAATTTATGGTTTTTGAAAATATATGACAACTATGTGTGTGTATATATATATATATATATATATATATATATATTAGAAGATTAAAATAAATTAAATTTTAATTGGTTTGCTATTTATAAGATACGACTAATTTAATCGAGTTCTGTTTAAATAAATAAGTTATAATATCAATTATCAATTAATAAAAAATAAATGAAATCCCTTAGATTGTAACGGTATGTTTTAATCGCCATCGAATAATAATAATAACAATAAATAAATAGAACACTTTTACTTTTTATTTTTGAAAGAAAAAAAAAAAAGAAAAAGAAAGAAGATATACCCCAATAATATATAGCTTATTTGATCACGTCTTGGAAACATTATATCTATGCGCGCCACGTTTTCTGTACCAACCAAAATAAAAATAATAATAATAATAATAATAATAATAATAATAATAGTAGTAGTAGTAGTAGTATATTATTTACTATCTGATTGAAGGGAAGCCAATTAAAAATCAACTATATCCAACCATATTGACTTGTCTAATTTGCTATTCATTTTTTTTTTTAGATTATTTACTATCTGATTGAAGGGAAGCCAATTAAAAATCAACTATATCCAACCATATTGACTTGTCTAATTTGCTATTCATTTTTTTTTTTCTTTTGGAAACACATAGTAGTAAATTAGTAACTACTAGTTCGGAAATTACATAATAGACATAAATTACATTAAGAAGATTACGTGTAATAATTTTAATTGAGATAATATTGACAAAAATAAAATTTATTTAGTATGAAATTGTAAAATTTAAAAGATTTATAATAATTTTATATGACACTCTGTTTTTCATTCTCACTTTCTAATGTGTTGAGATAAAAATGATCACAATAATATTTAAGAATTACAATATCTCTTACATTGTCAAGCAAAAATTTATGGAGTCATTTAAAAAAAAAAATTGAAAAGAGCAAAAGATAATAATGCTCGTAGTCTTAAAATGGGTTTAAAAGAATATAAAAAATTGTCAGTTGAAGTAGTTACAGGGACGGAGCCAGGAATTTTGTTGAGAGGGGGCGAAGAAGTAAGGACGGCTTAATCAATTTTTTTTAGTGAAGATGAAACATTAAAATAAAAGAGATAATTTAAAAAAAAAAAAGAAATTACCCAAGAAATATAGATATACATATTGTTAGATATGTGCGGAAAATAAAACACATCAAAATTTTATTAAAAATATTTATAACAAAATATGAAACATAATTAATTTGATAAAATATTTGAATAGAGAACAAATTATAAATTACACATCTCATTTTTTAATATAAAAGAATGTTATATATATATATATATATATATATATATATATATATATATATGTGTGTGTGTGTGTGTGTGTGTGTGTGTGTGTGTGTGTGTGTGTGAATTTTTAATATAAAAGAATGTTATATACATGTGTGTGTATGTGTGTTATTAAATATTAAAAAAACTATTAACAATGTGATTGTGTTGAAGCCAAGAAAAATTGTAAAATAGTGTTAATGCCATAAAAATTTGAACTCTAGACCTTCAAGATAACCAAATATATACTTCGCCAACTAATCTATCTTACTTTTTGTTAACATTAATCTGTTTCTTTATACTAATACTAAAACGTGTAATATATATACATATATACATACAACTATTATGTATGGGGTGGGGTGGGGGAAGGGGGCAACTGCCCCCTGTCCCCCTTTGGCTCCGTCCATAAGTAGTTATACTTAGAATAATGACGATAAAATTAGAGTAATTCATCATCTATTACAATTTTACCTTTTTTATTTTTGTTTTGAAAGTTACTAACTCTATTACTGACTCTATTAAAATAAGAGTTAATTATCGAAATGGTCCCTTGACTATAGCGAAATTACCAATTTGGTCATTGACTATTTTTTTATCAATTAAGTCCCTTAACTTTAAAAATTTTAATCAATTTGGTCCTCCGTTTGTTTAACCGTTAGTCAACCGTTAACTTGAGACCAAATTGGTAATTCGATATAGTCAAGGGACCATTTTAGTAATTAACTTTAAGGGTGGGCAATTCGGTTTATTTTCTAGAACCAACCCGTATTAAACTAGTTAGATTCGGTAATATACCGAACAACCGAACGGTAATAGATTCTTGTATACCGAATGGTTCGGTAAAAACTCGAACCGAACTGAATTGTTCGGTAAAAATCAAATCGAACCGAATACCGTTTGAACTTTGGATTGCTATTTTGTTATATATTAGACTTTGGATATGGACTATGTAAACACCATAACACATAATATAGAACTTTTGATAACAAACCATAAAGAAATCAAATAAAACATTTACGAGAGATACTCGTGAGAATATGAGCTGAACGGCAGAGCAAGCAGCAAGGGAATTGGATTTATTTGTTATTTATTTATTTATTTATTTACTTATTTATTATTATTATATTTTTTTTTAAAATCAAACGGTATTCGGTTCAGTTCAATTTTTTACCGAACAATTCGGATCGGTTTTTTATCGAACCGTTCAGTATACAAGAATCAAATACCGTTCGGTTGTTCGGTATATTACCAAACCAATTGGTTCAGTACGGTTCGATTCGAGAAAATTAAATCGAATTGTCCATCCCTAAAGTTAATTACCAAAATGGTCACTTGACTATAGCGAAATTACCAATTTGGTCCCAAATTAACGATTGACTAGCAGTCAAACAAACGGATGACCAAATTAGTTAAAATTTTTAAAGTTGAGGGACTTAATTGGTTAAAAAAATAGTCAAGGACTAAATTGGTAATTTCGCTATTCTCAATGGACCATTTTGATAATTAACTCATTAAAATAATTAAAATGGAGAACCACACAACTATAATATTATCACGTAGATTATTAGAATTTTAACCGTTTTTTGAAACGCAACCTTAACTTCCAGTTTTGGTATTCCATTATTCTCAATAAAGAATTTTTTGTTAATCTCTACGTTTTCTAATTTTGTGTAGAAAAATAATAGCCTGTTTGGTTATGCGTAATTTGGTTGTAGTTGAATTGCAATTTAGTGGAAGCTACAATTACGCCGTTTGGTTGGAGGGAATTGCAATTTCACAGAATTACAATTCCTTCTTTTTGCTGAATTGCAATTCATGGACACCTCCCTATGAATTGCAATTCGGTGGTTGTGGGAAAAGGAAAAAGGGATGAAATAACAAAAGTATCCTTAATTATTACTACTATTATTATTACACAAGGACATTTTAATTTTTATATCACTTCTTTCATTCCCTACTCAATAATTCTATTCATTCCTATCAAACAATGTAATTTGAATTCCTACTTTATTCTCACCTTATTCTTTTCAATCCGAATTGTAATTCTTTTCTAGCCTAATTCCTTACTCCAACCAAACGCATGTAAGACACAAGGGCAGTTGCGTAATTGAATAAATCGTTTGAAAGATTTTGCTTTACAATCCAAGGAGAATTTCGCTCGGGGGAAAGGTCCTCGTCTAAATTCTAAAACCTTCATTTCCAAGCTCTCTCTCTCTTCTCTCTTCTCTCTCTCTCTCTCTCACATACACAGTCACACAGATCCATAGCTCCGGCAAGTCGTCTCTGAAATGTCATTCCGAGCTTATACTTCACTCGCAAGAAGGATCCGTTGAATTTCGTTCTGCCGACAGTAATATCGTATATCTTCGTTATACATACGCGTATATAGCGGTGTGAATGGGGGCGGTGCCATCAACGCCGCGGTTCACCGGCGCTGTGCGGCAGGAGACAGCGGAGTACCTAATTGGAGCGTTTATCGGCGATAAATCATATCCGCTTACCTCGGATTACTGGCAGAAGCTTCTCCTGCACCCACTCTACCTCCATTGGTCCACCGACCGTGTTCACGAAGCTTGCCGCCTCTTCGGTACATCATTTTTTTTTTTAATCTCAAATAATAGAATTTTTTTCCTTGGTTACTGTACATTTTGTTAATTGTTTACGAAATTGTTCTTCCGTTCGGAGTTTGTAATTTGATTCTGAAAGGGTACAGCAGCTGTAGACTTGTAGTCTGATAACCTTGTGCTTTCTTTTTAAGGCCTGGTGATTTTTCTAGCTACTTTGACTACTCAACAATTCAGACACAATTCACAATAGTAGTTTAATCGTTAATGGTTAGTGTGTATACATTTGGCTTGTGCACTTTGTGAGTGCAGAGTAATTGGCATTGTGTATACATTTGGCTTGTGCACTTTGTGAGTGTATGAAACCAATAATTAACAATTAATATTGCCGTATGTTGAGGTACACTAAAATTTTCAGCCCGAATTTATTAGAGGTGGGTTAAATACTTCATCATTTCAACTAAAAGCAAAATAAAGATCATGTCATATTGAATAGCTGCTGTCAAAGTGCCAATTTAACGATTTTTCTCATACCAAATTTTGTCGCAGTAGCTGTAACATTTGCTTTACATGTAGGAAGTCATCCCTTTAAGAAATTTCATATGCCATGTGGAAAAAAAATGAGGAAAAATTCCATAACTTTAAGTAATTTGTATGTCACCTGTACTTATCATAACTGAGACTTGAGGATCAAATTTTAGTTCCTTGGGATCATATCATGGAACCTGCTTACACTGGACCAAATCTGAAATCAGTAGTCTGTAGTCTGAATAAGTTGAATATAAACCAGAAAAACAGATTAGAACACACTGACTTGTCATTCTGAATACCTTTATTGTTTTCTGCAGCAAAGAACAACCATAACACGAGGCACCTTGCCAAGATCCTAGTTCATCTAAGTTGGTGTTTGCAAGAGTGTGTTTCTGCATCAGATGTACCTTCTTTGTCTATTATGAAAGCCCTCAATGCAGTGTACATCTCATCTATTTTTCTGAAATACCTGATTGAGAATGCCAATACTGATAACTTTGAAGAATTGTACATATCTCTAAATGAAAGCGAGGAGATACCACATAATCTCTCAACAGGTGACTGCTCATTCCACAGCTTAATTATTGATCTTCAACATCATCATGCTGTAGCTACCATGCTTTATCAGTTGAATATTGAGAGTTTACTGAATAGACAGGACAAGGATTGAGAATTGTGTTTCAATCAAAGTGAATAAGTGATCCAAAAGAATATGCCAGGTTTTTTGCCAAAGTACGGTTCGCGGAGATTTTATTAGCATTGGAATTTAAGAAAAATATGAATGGAAATAAATATTAGAAATATCATATACTCTAATTAAATGCAATGGCTTCTAAATTTATCAATATGAACAGAGCAGAAAATTAGGAATTTTAATTTTTAAAAAGAATGGGAATAAATGAAGGAATACAGAGATTTTTTTGGAGGTAGTTTTTTGTCAGGTGATGAACATAGTAAAAGTGGGACAATGGCATGTGACAAGGAAAATGAGAAAATAAAAATAGCAGAACTTAAGCTGTTGGAATATAGATTGGATTATGAAAAAAAATAAAGCCAAAGAACAAGAGTGAAGGAAATCATGGGGACCGTAGATATGGTATGGAAATTGGTTTTAGATGCTTGTTTGTTTGGTTTGCACTGTAGGAGTCTTCATGGTCTGGAAAATGGGTTGCTACTTTTGGGTTTCATTTGTTTTTATTAAGAATTGAGGGTCTATATAGCTCTTTTTTTATATGCACATTTCTATGTCGGTAGGTTGCAAACCGCTTCTGCTACTTGTAATAACATAATGTCTTGCCTATCAAATTATTTCTAGAACTTATAAACATGATTTAAGATATCTCTAAAACATTTTCAGTAATAGATTGGGAATTATCCAGGTATGGATCTAATAAAACCTTCAAAATGTATAGGCTCATTTCAACATCTCTTGTTACAGATCAGAGGATTGAGCATCTCATTGTCCATAGTGTGTTTAGCTTTGTTGGAAAAGTAGACGTGAGGTATATCAGGGTTCTTCTATCATTTTTCTGTGGATTACTTAATATTGTTTCTTTGCTGATAATTGTATTTCTCCTGCAAGTACCAACTCATTTCTTCTGCACTATGAACTGCTTAACTTCATGCTTGTTGCCATGTCAACACAACTCCTTTCGGGGCCATCACCTGGCCCAAGTGATATTCATCCTTTCATTGATGCTGCAATGGTACAGGTAATGAGTTTTTTTTTTTTTTTTTTTTTTTTCCAAATGGGATATAAATTAAAACAAGAAATTATTCATTGTTAACTTGCTGTTATTATGCAGGAAAGCTCTTTGGTGAATATGGTTGTTCAAAAACTGCTTCATAATTACATCACGCGACCACGCTTCCCTGCAAAGTCCTTATCTTATCAGATATTTGCTGAAGGAAATCAGCCTGGTGTTTTACAGAGAGTTGGCTCTGTAGCTGGTAGGATAATATCACACCTCCCCCTCCTTCCCTATACTTTGGTATCTTTGTGCCCCCTCTCACCCTCTACCTCTACATTTCTGTTGCTCATACAGCTGGACTTTTATTTGGTTTTATCTTTTTCATTAATGCACTGTGGATTCTCTCAGATTGTTGCAGAAGTCTATGCATGTTTTGATTTCTTCCATCTTTGTGTGAAAAGTACTGGGGTTCTAACATTGGTGTTATATTTTACCTACTAATATCAATGTACGATGTGTGACCTAGTTTCATAAAATGTTTTGGTGTCCTATTAGAGTTAGATTAGAACAGTAGACTGTCCCACAAGTATTTGAAGTTCTCTTACCTCTTTCAATTGTAAAAGCTCCTCTACTTTAATGTCCCCTTCTAACAAAGTAACAATAACTTTGTGATTCATTGACTTTACTAGTCTGTATAGTCACGTTGGTTATCTTCACTTTAATGAAACTTTTTCTATTTGTGTTGATTTGCAGCAAACCTTGTGCTATTGCCATTAAATTACTTTGCCAGCTCCAGTGCTGAAGCTTCTAAAAGTCCATTGGCAGACAGCAGTCTGAATATTTTACTTATCCTTACTCACTACCGCAAGTGTCTCAATGTGGACCGTGGAAAAGATGAAAGTGATTACAGTATTTCAGATCCTCTCCCTAAGGAAGAAACATGTTTTTTTGAAAATCCTTACTGCGTGGCCTTAAATAATGCTCGGGATACTGAATGTAGGATCATATTCTGATGCCTGTGTTTTTTTCTCTGAATTTATGCTATAAAATGTTCTATGTTTCTGAATTCTGAGTTTATCACAAATGCAGTTGATCGTGTTGATATAGAAGGGACTGCACAAAATGGTCCACTTGTGAGACTGCCTTTTGCTTCTCTTTTTGATACCCTTGGGATGTAAGTCCACTGAATTTATCCAGTATAAGCAGTTCTAGGAAGAAATATTTGTATTAACTTTTCTTTTACTTTTGATACACTTGCTTACATAGTTGGACTTGTTTCCAGTTTTTCATTTGTCTTAATGGTTTTAAGTGATCTTTCCTGAGCTGCTTTACTAAAAATTTCATTTCCACTTCATATCTGTGGTCCCATAAACACAATAATGGGAAAAATCTTCATTAAAATTTGATTGTTGATAACATATAGACTTTGCTGTTGTAGAATATAATGGTCTGCTTTTAAACAATGTCTTGAAGTGCTCTGGATTTTGTTTCCTTTTAACTACTCATTGTTTACGTTTAATAGTAGCAGCTTCGTTGTTAAATTACGCATTGCTCATTTGCTGTTATCTGTCAATAGTTGTACATATGTGCATTAATATTTTTGAAATTGGTTTGTGGGTGCTTTATGGTTGAAGACATTGATGTTAAGATCTGAGCATCTTGAACAAGTGCTTGATCAATAACATGCATGTGTGGTTTGGTTTTAGCAGTTTGGTCTGATGGATACTTTACTTTTAGGTGCATGGCTGATGAGACTTCTGTTCTCCTTCTTTATTCACTTGTCCATGGGAACTCAGATTTTCTAGAATATGTTTTGGTCAGGACAGATCTTGATACCCTGGTATGCATAAGCATTTTTACTCCCTTTTCTTCTTCTTATGAGAAGGGAAGTTGCTGTCTGCTATGTTTCCTAGTCTGTTGCCAGTTGCTAAACTTGACATTATTGCTACAAAAACTTATTATATGTGTCTTTCTAATGAATTAACAGTTGATGCCTTTGCTGGAAACACTGTATAATGCTCCAAGAAGGGCACCCAACCAAATCTACATGGTCCTAATTATCCTTCTTATACTCAGTCAAGATTCCTCTTTCAATGCTAGCATACACAAACTGGTAATTGAACTCCCATAGTCTCCCTAGTTACTTAACAGAATACCATGTTGATCAAGTATTTTTCTGCAGATGCTGCACAGTGTCCCATGGTACAAAGAGCGTGTCCTTCATCAGACATCTCTAGGTTCTCTCATGGTCATAATCCTGACAAGGATTATCAACTATAATCTATCTAAACTTCGGGTATGATATAATAAGACATTCTGTTGGTTCATTGTTCCTGATTCTCTCATGGTGCTCATTTATTTATCCTTTGGGATTGTTTCCATATTTGCTAATATTTTTTTTTTTTCTGGGGTAAAACCACTTTGTCATTTAGGCTTCACTGCAATATCCTGTATTGTTTTTTTATTCACAAAGATTTGGTGCTTCCCTTTCATATCATCTTGTGTAGATGTAGATCATCTGAGAAACTAAGCCTTGAAACATATGGCATCAAAACCTATTCCAACCGCTGTTTTCTAATGTATTTGATTGGAACAGGATGTTTATCTCCATACAAATTGTCTAGCAACTTTGGCAAATATGGCACCTCATGTCCATCGCCTTAGTGCCTATGCATCACAGCGTTTGGTTAGCCTTTTTGATATGCTTTCACGCAAGTAGGTATCCTATCTCTGTGTATCTGATTGATTCTCAAATACTATTTGTTAACTATTGCTTTGGCATGATTGGAATTAGGTACAACAAATTAGCTGAGATGAAAAATGACAAGATGAGTGTTTCCAATGGTGAATCAATAGGAGACAATCTACCAGAGGACAGTGTATGGCAAACTTCCATCATGATTTCCTTTGTCTTGCTTGCCTTTTGAGTTGCTCATATATGGTGGATTTTGTTGTTGCAGTCAGCTGAGCTGCATATATACACCGACTTCCTGAGGATTGTTTTAGAAATACTGAATGCAATCCTAACTTATGCACTCCCTCGAAATCCTGAGGTATCACTATTTGTTCATGTTCTATTTGTGCGGCATATTACTTTATATATGCAATTGTATGTATCCTGCTTCAATTATCTTGGTTGCTTTTTGTACCTGGCAGGTTGTTTATGCAATTTTGCATAGGCAGGAGGTTTTCCATCCTTTTAAGAGTCATCCACGGTTTAATGAGCTGCTTGATAACCTTTTTACGGTATGCTTGGGTTTATCTTAATGCATTATTCTCGTAAAGACCAGCTATACTTTGGCTACCAAGTAGAGAGTTGGAAGATGCAATATGTCTATAAGATGCCAGCTGATATTAGTATCTTAAGATGAATGTGTTGGAAGACAAAAAATAAAAGACCATATTAACTTGTCTTTTATCTGAAACAAGATATAGTTGATGCCTAAGGATGACAAATGGGGAGAATTGATATAAGGTGATTTGAGCATGTTCATTGTTCAATGTAGACTGGTAGATGTGCTGGTCTGAAAGAGTGAGAGCATGGTTGTAGTAGTAAATACTAAATAGTAATAGGGTATAGCATATTGAGTTAAGTTATATATTGTCCCCGCTTCTTGAATGTCAGTTATTTAGTTTGATGTGTGCTTTATTTTTGTTTCAATGATTTTTCGAATGTGTAGGTCTTAGACTTTTTTAACAGCCGCATGGATGCACAAAAAATAGATGGTGAATGGTCAGTGGAGAAAGTACTTCAGATCATAATTGTTAATTGCCGATCTTGGAGAGGTGAAGGCATGAAGGTAAGAGCAGATGCACACATAACTGTCTCCAATATTTGGAATGCCTGCATAATAATTCTTATAGATAAAAAATTTGGTTTGACAGATGTTTACGCAAATGCGTTTTACTTATGAACAAGAGAGTCATCCAGAGGAGTTCTTCATACCTTATGTATGGCAGTTGGTTCTGTCTCGAAGGTATGGTTGGTATACAAAGCAACTGTACCACTAAGCACTTTTGTTGCTACTCAACCTAATGAATCTAATCTAATTTTTGTTAGCAGTGGTTTGGATTTTTCTCCTAGCAGTATAAATCTTTTTCCAGTTGACCTCCCTGTGGAAGTAAGTGCTCTTGATTTTCCTCGGTTTATTGTGCTTTCTTAGGCTTAAATCTCTTTTAGTATTTGCTCTTAAAAGTAGTTTGATTGCAATTCTGGACTGCATTTTCTGCTCAGAACACATTAATCTGACTACATCAGGATCAATTATAACCTTGTCCACCTGCCTCAAGAATCATCTCCAACATAATTCAACACTATTAACATTGAAAGATGCATGTGCCTTTGCATTTGCTTTATCCTATGAATATGCCTTTGCATTAGCTTTATGCTTCTTCCAACTTCATCTCATAGTATGCCCCTTTGAATTATCCCCCATTCCCCCTCCCCCTACTAGGTATACTAGTACGTCTTACAGATATTCCCCTTTCAACAATAGGTTTTCAAGAACAGCTCTGTTCTATATCTATATACAGTGGGCTTTGATTAATGACACTACATTTATTTGCTTTGCTTAAAGCATGGTCTTGAATTACCTTACAAAGAATTTATTGTTTTGCTTGAAATAGGATGGATTTGCTGGTTCAGATGCAGGCAAGCTACAAAATGGCGAATTGGATGGAAGTAAACATGTCGGAATCTGGGTTGAATGATCGTGGGCCCCAAAAGTTGGTTGGTTGTATGTATATATGTATATATATACGCATATACATGTGTATATATATACATCTTAGATATGTATTCTTCTCATTCTTTAATATGTTTATAGCTCAAGAGTATAGATGTGGTTACTTAAAGTTGAATTTGTTGAGATTTTTTACCAGTGTAATGAATGGGAGTGTTGGTAAAGTTCAGGGCTAGTCTTTTTCAGGGGCGTTAAAAATTTTCTGGTAGCCATGTGATATAATTTATAGCCATTTTTGGTGGTCAGGACACGTCCTGAACAAGCCCAAACTATAGGAGGTACCTTTAAGCTCGTACCCTACTCATATTAATTCTCATAAGCCTGTACCTTTCTCATACTAATTCTCATCGCACCGGGCTGGCCCAATGAAGGGATAAAGTGAGAGTGTTTCAACTCTCGATCTCTCTTAAAAGATGGGAGTGCATGATCACTCACACCAACCAAGCTAATTACATGACCTTTCTTTTGGCTACGTAAACCCCAAAATTAACAGCTGAATTTAGTTTGGATATTTAATTAATGAACTCATTACTCTATTATAATTTATAATTTAATAATTTAATTCATAATTTTTTGAGTCACTGAGGATCAGAAGGCATTTGGCTCCTTACTCAATTTTTATATTTAATTGATTGTTACTTCTAGTGTTGTCCGAATTGTCTTAGTATTGTCTAAGGTTTTGAGACAATGTCTAGTGCTATACCACTATAACAAAAATTGTCTCCATTTCTCCACGAATACTACCTTTTCAAAGCATATCTTCTACTCCTACGTATTAAACTCTAACCTGACAAGCATTAAAAGTAACAAAACAAAATAATTTTTTTTTTTAAATGTAGTCCTCATTAAGAGTAAAACGTATGATCAACTGCTTCAATAGCACATTTTGCCAGTTTTTGTGTGATGCAAAGATTTAAATCCATCTACTCCATATCAACTAAAAGTTGTTTATATATTATATACAGGCATACAGCCTTCATAATAACCATTCTCAAGAAACATAAACACTCACCAACAAAATACCACAAACAATCTTGTATTTGCACAAAGAAGTTCCAATCAACACATTAAAAAATAAATGCAATTGATACCCAAACAAAAGGCACCTCCATGAACACTAATCAGATTTGAGAACGAGCCAAAATTGCAATTTCATTGCATTTCTTGATTTCAAACCACTCAATAGCAGCAGCTAGCTAATATACATAAAGTTCCATTTTCACCTCCACTAAAAAACCCTAAAACTCCTGAGAAGCAGAGCCAATTTCACCCTTTCCAGAGCCAGCCTTCTTTGGCAGCAAAGTTTGATGGATATTGGGCAAAACACCCCCATTGGCAATAGTCACATCACCCAGAAGCTTGCTAAGCTCTTCATCATTCCTCACAGCCAATTGAATGTGCCTTGGCACTATGCGATTCTTCTTGTTGTCCCTTGCTGCATTCCCAGCCAATTCCAACACCTATATACCAAGCACCATATCAAATCAAGAATTCAATTTTTAGCAAAACCCGCATTCCAATACAACCAATTCATCATCAAAGAATCAAAGAATAATAACTAAAACACAACCAAATTAGTTTAATTTTGTGATCCTTGATAGGGACAAAAAGGCAAATTTTATCCAATGCACACTCTGTGGATGCAAATTTCACTAGTCACCAATATCCCAAATCACAAAACACTAAAAATTGGGAATAAGACGCAATGTATAGCCGTAATAATCGATAATATATATCAATTGAGATCAATTAGATTGAATGCCAATCACGTCATTGCTTAATCATAAGAGTGCATTAAAAAAGGCCACGGAAGTAACCTCAGCAGCGAGATATTCAAGAACAGCAGCGAGATAAACCGGAGCTCCACCACCAACACGCTCGGCGTACTTTCCAGCCTTGAGGAATCGCGCGATTCTGCCGACCGGGAACTGGAGCCCCGCCTTAGAAGATCGAGACACCGACTTCGTGGCTTTCGGCTTGCCTCTGCCGGCGCCGCCCTTCCCTGCACCCGCGCCGCTTGAACTCATTCTTAGTTACGTAACCCTAATTAACTCTCAATTCTCTGAAAACTCTAGACTCCAACCCACAGAAATTCTCGCCTTGGGTGGAAGACAAAGAGAGAAGTGTATATATAGCAATTGGTTGAGTATTGTGGCCCGTAGATACAGGGATGCACGGATCGCCAGCCTGGCACCGAAGTGCCCGCAATTTTTTCAATGCGCGGGAAGACGTTTCTAGAAACTCCTCCTCTCAATATTAAAGACGGGTATGTTTAGCAATTGGTTGATAAATAAGCAGATTCTATTAGTTGATAGTATTAACTTCTGATATAAAAATATATTTGGTAAATTAGTTATTTATTATTAGCTAATTAGATATAAAATGATGTTGATATAAGTATATTGTAATATTTAATTAACTTTTAAAATATTTTTTATAATTTATTGGTATCGTTGTGTTATTAATTTTTTTTTTGTTTTATTATTAATATTGTTGTAATTATAAAGAAATACTCAGTACTTAATAATAATTTAATATTAAAAATAAAAATTTTAATAATAATTTAACACAACGGTTAACACAATTATATATGTGTGTTAGGCAAATAGTCAATTAAGATGTGGGGGTTTATGCGGTAAATTTGAATAAAAACTGAATAAATATAAACACCGCAATAATTAACAACTATTAAGGATAAATTAGACTTTTTAAAAATAAACATTTAAAAATGAATATTCAATGTATTTAAAATGAACCTTTAGTATACTAAAAATAAACTTTATGTCATTGATTAACCTTGTAAGGTGAATCATGGCCCATGGTATAATGATGACTACTTAAGTGCCTATTTGCTAACACAATAACACCCACAAATCCCCAACCCACCAAAAAACCTAACCTCTCTCACTTTCTACCCTCTTGGCTCTCACAAAGACAAACTAGCAGACCATTGTCTCACTAAAACACTATCTCAGATTCTTTAATTTGAATCTTTGTTCAATATTCACTTCTTCACTATACAGTTACATCAACATTATATAAGTGACTAGTTTACCGGTCAATCGGTCATTATCCTCAGTTCAATCTGTAGAGGTTGTATTTTGTCCAATGACATCTTGAGTCACGACCAGTCAACTCATTAACTTAAAGCGACGGTTGTGACAACGCATTTTATTTCTTTGGTCTCCACCTCTCTACTTTACTCTAGTGAGTAGTGACTATCTAGCAAACACGGTATGGGGGTTCAATAATCAAAGGTAATTTCAATTTGTTCAGTTTGACTTTTAAAAAGTTTACAAGAATAGAAATACCTTATTAAGCTTGTTCAATTGTCCATATTTTTTGAGTTTTCAATATAAAAAACACACATTTTGAGTTTTCAATATAAAAACACATGCAAAGACAAAAGCTGACCTAGGGAATCAACCACGCAACCGAGCCATATAGGCATATTACAAACCAACTAAGCTAGCCTAAACAACTATTTATAACTTGTATAAATAATATTTATTCAGTCTCATCCTGTCACCATAAATACTCAACATCCTTCTTTGTAAAATCATTCCAAAACATCAATACAAAATGTTTGCCCCTCTCTTCATCTATAAGCTCTATTATTCAAAACACGATATCAGCATGAAGTCTCGGATTCAACTATTATTTAAGTATGTTTTCTTTATATATTTATATATTATGTAATATTTAATAATATTTTATTCAATATCACAAATATGTCAAATCTTACAAATCTTGAGTTTGTGGGGCTTGATATATCTGGGGAGGGGGGGGGGGGGGGGGGGGGAACCTTTCGTGAGTATAGGATATTGAGATACATTTAAATACAAAGGGTCTCGATGATACTATCAAAGAAAATAATAATGCCTCGATGCAATATCGGGTTAAGCAATGATTTCATTCACTATCATCTTGACCAAGGGTTAAAACTTGAGTATCTCACTGTGAAAAACTCTCTGAGCTCTAGAGAATTTGAAAGAAAGATATGATCACCTGAGGACAGTAATTCTCCCGAAAGCTTGTTATGATTGGCTTCACTTAGGATTGCAAGATTTAAAAACTATGAGGGAATATAATGTTATGTTCAAAATTAGCTCTTAGTTGTTATCATGTGGAGAGAAAAATATTGATAATGATATGTTCTAAAAAATTAAACCTCCTCTACTTTTCATGGATCTAATATGGTGCTTCAACATGAAAATATAGAGAGAAATGTTTTACAAAATATTCTCGATTGATTTAATGCCTTCTTATGGCGGAACAAAATAATGAGTTGTTGGTGAAAAATCACGAGGCACGTTCCACTGGTTCAATCTTATTCCTTGAAGTGAATGGTATGTCATATTATAATGAAAATACAAAGGTTTGTGGTTGTGGTCGTGGACGTGATCGCGGTCATGGACGATCAAGCATGTGAGTATAGCTAGAATAAATTATTAAAATATCATATCAGAGTAGTAATATGATAAAATGCGTTTATTTAATTATTTTATTTATTATGATAAAATATTTATGCGTGTATATATATGTGACACTAAGACTAGTATGTGCAAATAATTATTTTGTGCATTAGTCATATATTATTCTTGGGCATTGATATTATATGTAATGCTATGATATGCTTAATTAAATATTTTATTTGCATTATTAAAGAAGCAATTGAATATATCATCACTCTTGATTATATTGGATCCAGGACAAATGAGTAAAATATATGTATTGGCAAAGTATTATTTATGCACATTCAAAATACTACAATATTTGATAGTACAAAAATGATTGAGGACTCAAGTAGAGCTAATACATATTATTGCATGGATGAATAAAATTTATAATAAATAATGTAAAGTTGTAAACGAGTCAAGCTCAAACTCGATCAAGCTAAAAAATTAAAACTCGAGCTCGGCTCGGTTAAAACATGGGCCGGCTCGCGAACCGCTCCATTCATTTACACCTAAATATAAATAAAGTAGTAAATGGCTTCTCAGAGCAATTTAATTCCCTTTCACCCAAGGACACTTCACTTCAGCCTGCCAAAAGTAAGAAACACCCATCATTATTGTATGGACCATGGTCCACACAAGTTGTGTGGACCATATTTTGTCTACTATAAAATAATGTACATTCAGTACAAAAATAATGTACATTGTACTCAGGGGATGTATATTATTTTTGTTCTGAGTGTACATTATATTGTATAATGTACATTCAGTATAAAAATAATGTACATTTAGTATATTAAAAATGTACTTTTTATTATGGTTCACATAACATTGTGTGGACCAATAATTTGCCATCAAACACATTTACTAGTTTAATAATATAATTGGGTTTTTAACAATGAAGTTTAGCATATTATTAGCCCAAATTTATATCCCAGAAGTTGGGCCAGCAAGCTCTGTTTCCATTTCAACATAGAAAACTAACAACTTAGCTAACCGGCAAAACCAACAAAATCAGCCCAACAACATTTGCGTTTTTTTTTTTTTTTTTTTTTTTTTTTTTTTTTTTTTTTTTTTTTTTTGGTTTTTGTTATTTTTTTTGTTATTTTTTTTTTGTTTTTTTGTTTTTTTTTGTTTTGTTTTTGTTTTTGTTTTTGGGATAACGAGAACAAATTGTTGTTACTACTCAAAAATCATAACGAGTTAGATCAAAAGAATGATAAGTTTGTTTCTTTGTCAATATGTTTGATTAGCCACTTGTCTTGTCCATAAATAAAAAACCTATTAGTAGTAAGTATTTGTTTAACGTAAAATCAATCCTGATTGGAATGAGATTCGAACATGAAAGTCTAATACTTTGCTTATGAAAACTGAAAATGGTGCCATCAGACCAAAAGATACTTGGCAAAGAGATTGATTAATTTCATTAAAAAATCTTACTTTTATACATAATAATAATAATAATAATAATAATAATAATAATATATTTTATGACAAAAAAAAACAGAAATAAGGACCAAAATGGGCAAATAAAAACCACAAAAACTTGCAAATACATATTCCGCATTGGAATCGTTTTCTGTATGTACTATGTAGCCGCCAAGAAAATAAACTCAAATTAAAAATGAAAAAAATAATAATCATAGAATAGTAGTGACAATGATGTCTGGCTTCTAGCATTTGACAATACAAGATGGAACACAACTTGCTTAAATCCAATGGGTTACAGGACAACTTAATAAAGTGACGATTGTGACCCCAGCCAAATTGACATTATATTTAGATTCTTAGAAAAAATAAATAATAATTAAGAGATTAATTAATTAAAAAGTGGAAGAGGGTGTCATTCTTTATCATAGAATAGAAGCCCACAGTTTGGTGGAGAGTGACAGCACAAATCAGTTTTGTCTTTGAATCAAAGACAGCTTTGCACATAGTATGCGCCAAACAAATATTAATTTTCACTAAATTAATGTTAAGCACCCCCAACATCTTAATTTTCACTAAATTAATGTTAATCACCCCAACATCTTAGGAGGCCTTTTCCAACTTGTATGTGTGTGTATATATATTTATTTTCTAATTGATTAAGCACAAGTGGGTTATATATCTAAGTAATGTACCATTTGACTTTCTTTTTGGAATAGATTATGATCAACTTGATTATAAATTAATGCCATATCATTTTTTTAAAAAAAAAAAATAGGAATCCTCTATTTGAAGAAAAAATTGCAATGTTAATTAATTTTCATATATAGTTTGTGATTTGTGTCATTATCCTTCAAATTTGTTATATTTTTGGACATTGATCATAATCCACCGTATCATCACAAACTAATTTAATCATTATGTTTAAGATGTAAATAGTATTATTTTTATAATCACAAAAATAACTAGTTGATTTCGCTGTGAGCATATAATATATGAATATATATAAATTTACAATTGAACTATTAGTTTAGCTTTTCAGTTGTTATATAAATATAAATAGAGCATGCCCGCACATGCTTCAATTTAGTATCAGAGTCGGCCACATACTAAAGGTCAGGGTTCGAATTCCCGTACTCACCTAATAAAAAGAGACTATGAGGCTATGGTTCACGTGTTCTTTGAGAAGTAACTGGTTTGCACAAATGAGGGGGGTGTTGAGCATATAATATATAAACATAAATTAAATGTGTAATCCAAAGATCATGGGTTCGGATCTCCATATCACCTGACAAAAAGAGACTTTGATCTACGTGTTGTTTGGAGCCCGT